CTGCATTTTGACAAATAAGAATTTGTTTATTTATAATGTGTGACCGTAGATTACACTATTTTTACTTCATTTAAATCATGTGGACATAATATTTTTCAGGTGTTTGCTGTTATTTTTACAGGTTTTTACTATATTAATAATTTTTCTTGCACCATATTTTCCCCTTTTTGCTCCACAGTGCAGCAGGTCTTTATCGTTTAGGGAGAATTTGGTTAGTTGAAGCAGATCAACTAGAAGGTTTCATGATAGAATACGTGAAAAGTGAAACCGCTGTTAAATCCACATACTGAATGAATAACATTAGCACTCTGTAGATCCTTTCCTCTTCTGTTTTTGATGCTAATATCAGTTGTTTCTGCATAAATCAGGGCAGCAGGTTTGATGTCACGTTGGATCCTCTTGGTTTATTTGGACAAAGTGAAGATGATCAGCAGCAGAACTAAAACCACCAGGCTTCAGGTGGAGACGCTACGATCCAAGTTTTAGCTTCATTTAAAAAAGAAAACGAGCCGTGACGTTTGAGGAGACGGTGAAGATCGGCTCTGAACCTGGACCTGAAGCTGTAAACACCCCGGGCCTCCCTGCAGGCCTCCGAGCTCAACATCATTCTTCACCACATTTCAAACATCTCCGCCGCTTTGAGGTGCGTTTGATTTACAGACCAGAACACAGGAGATGTTTGTTTAAACGTTCGGTCCTGCAGCTCTTTATTCTCAGCTCGAGTCCGACGACGTCTGAAGCTGACTGAAGGTCTCCATCTGCTGGACGACGGCGCTCTGGTGCCAAGAAAACAGTGAAAAGTCTCAAGATAACAGCAAAGGTCTGTAAAATAATCACGTTTGTAGCTGATTTGAATAATTTTATGCTCTTGTGTGGTGAAAGAACAAATTATTAATTCTTTAAAAAATATATTAATCGTGTAAATCATTTTTTTTTTAAAGGGTTTTTAATCGTTATTATCTGTAAATCTGTAAAATAACAGTTTGACAAATGTGTTTACGATTTTCAAATCTTTGCATTATTTTTCTTTCA